CCTGTTGGGAAAGCGAAGCCTGCTGGAGCGCCTGATGGCTGGGTACGTGGGCGAGAGAACAAGAAGAGCCAAGGTGGAACCCACAGTTTTCACACGAGCAGCCGGAAGCACACAACTGCCACTTCTGAGACAGACAGATGGAAAGAGAGGAGTCTCAGATGTGGTAGACTGGAGGTAGAAACCTGGTAGACCTCCAGGTGGAAGGGCCAGAGGCAGTCAGGTGCATGAGCCTTCTTTGCCCAGCCCCCAACCTCCCCCTCCAGCCTCTGCCTCTCCTGGAGCTGCAACCTCTGTGCGCACCTGCCGCCGGCCGCCTCACAGACCTCTCCCAGGCACAGATCTCTCAGCGGCCCCTCCTCCCGGCAGCGCAAGGCTGTCCCTCCAGCCGGAGCCTGGGGGTCCGTCCTCGCCGGGGCCAGGGTCTCCCTCATCCCCGCATCCGGTCTGCCAGCACACTGCAGCCTTGTACTGCACAAAGAACTCTCAGAGTTCCTCCCTAGCTGCTTTCCCCCTTTCCTGTCTTATTTCGCCACACCGTGTGGCCAAAGTGACCTTGTCAAAGCATGTGGGAGCAGGTGACATTCCTCTGCTCAGCCCCAGGACACCGCTACCACTGGGGGCTTCTGTTGTCCTCATGGTGAAGGTGGCGGGCCCATGTCTCCAACCTAATGCCACTGCCCCTTGCCCCCGCCCTGCCAGCCAGCCAGCCCACCGCCTTTCAGTCCCTCAAACAGGCCACATTCTTTCCCACCTCAGAGCCTCAGACCTGCTCTGCTCTTCCCTTTGCCTGGAGCCCCTGTGGCTGGTTTCTTCTACTCCCTCTGGTCTCAGCTTTAGTGCCACCTCCTCACGGAAGCCCTCCCTGATGACCCAGGAAGGATTGCATCACCCAGTTATTCTCTCCCATAGCACCTCTCCATGGTTTTGTAATCTGCATTTATTAGTTGATGATTTTATAAGCTCCCCCCACCCCGACCCCCAGCAGTAGACTCCAGAGTCTATTCTGCTCACCCTGTATCACTCCGGGGCCTGGGCCTGGTACATGAAAGAAACTTGGTAAATATGTGTTGAGTGAATGTACATATACTGCCTCTGCCACTCAACTTGGATATTAGTAAATATGAGTGAGTTGTTGAGTAGATGGATGGACTCTCTCAAAGTTGGCCAGTAAATGAACGGGAAGCCTGTTTTTTTCCCATTCTGGAATTGGCATAACTACTTTCCTGTATTTCGGTGTCCTAGATGGGCTCTCACATTCTTTTTTTTTTTTTTAAAGATTTTATTTATTTATTTGACAGAGAGAGAGCGAGAGCAGGAACACAAGCAGGAGGATTGGGAGAGGGAGAAGCAGGCTTCCCGCCGAGCAGAGAGCCCGATGTGGGACTCGATCCCAGGACCCTGGGATCATGACCTGAGCCGAAGGCAGACACTTAACGACTGAGCCACCCAGGCACCCAGGGCTCTCACATTCTTAAAGGCCATCTTGAAGAATGTGGGCTTGCCCATGAGCCTGTGTGCTGCCGCTGCCGCCACTGCATGCACCCCACGAGAGCCCACAGTCGTGCCACGCCACCCTGTCCCTGCCTTATCTGTTTCACAATTTCCTGTCTGGGCCCTTGAAATCTTGATTTGCACAGTTATTTGTCTTTCTGCTCTTCTCGGTGCCCTCTTAAAGCATTCTTTATTATTTCAGTCCTAAGAACACAAGCCCCGTTGAAAGGAACATGCTTTTAATGAAGCCTGCTTGGAGATGGGCTTGATGGTTGGGGGGTGGGGGCCGTCAGGGTGGTGAGGGCCCTGTGCCTCTGTCCCAGGGAGCATCCTGAATACCAGGAGCTCGCTCAGGCCCCAGCCAGTCCAGAATCTCCGCTCCATGCTTTCTTTGCTATGGGGGGCAGTTCTCTTCCAGAATCAGATATAGCCATTCTCTTTGGATGGGCTGGATGTTTAACTGGGTCTGCCATAAACAGCATCTGTCAGCCACCCTCTGCACTAGGCACCAAGATACAGCAGTAGGAACCTGGATTTAAAAGGGGAAATACACAAGTTTGATAGGCAAAAATTAAGAAATCTGGTCATGCCAGACACTGGAGAAGACACGGATCTACTGAGAGTCTCTGGCCTGTGGGCGGAAGCGTACATTGGTACTTTATTTATCTAGCAGACATGAGCCCTCACTTGCTCCTGATCCAGCAGTTCTGGTCCATGGCCCATATCTTCCAGAACCTTCCTTGCACTGTGCATCAGGCGGGAATCTTGTTTGAGAGGGAATTCATTGCATCATTTTCCAGGGAAAAATTGGAAATGACCCATGTACGCATCAGTAGGAGGCTGAATGGTGGTTTGTGTGTGCCGTGTGACATACAGCATCAGCAACAAATGAGCTGCAGGTGTAGGCGGCACGGGCAAGAACTCTAAAGTTCAAACACTCAGAAAACAAAGTATTGATTAGGCATATGTACTACATATGTAGTGAGCCTCCGCACAACCATGTACACGTATATAGATAAAAAGAAAGGAATGCCACACACCAAATTCAAGAGAGTGGTTGCCTCCAGCTGGGGGGCAGGCAGAACTAGGTGGTGGAGGAGCACAGAAAGAGAGTGAAGTTATTGGTAATGTTTTAGTTCTCAGGGTGGATGATGGGGCCATGGATATTTACCCTATGGTAATTTAACTCAGTAGGTACGAGGAGGCACAGACTGGCAGAACCATAAAGCAGCAATGGCAACACAGGAAGTCAGGTTCAGAGCAGCCCAAGGAGAGTAACCAGCTCTGTCTGGAGTGAGCAGGGAAGCCGTTCCAGGAGGTCCCCTGACATGAACAGGAATTTTAGGTGGAAGAAGTCCCAGGGAGAAGGGTCCTCACAGGCAAAACGAATATGTGGTTCTATATGTAGGGAATTGTTCAAGCTTCCCCTGGTTGTGGCTTCATGTGGTGGGAGGCTCCAGGGAAGGCCATGAGGAGAAGCCAGGCAAGCAGAAGTCCCTGGTGGGGCAGCAGAGGGAACATCAGGAGGTGCAAGAGCCCCTACCCTCCCTGAGCAGCTTACCCAATGTGGGGGGTGGGGGGCTGGCGGCCAGGGGGCTGATTCCCCATAGAATTTCACATGACCAGAGGATCTTCCTGCTCACAACAGCTACACCCAAAAGGTTTGAAAGTGGTGATGTGCAAGAGGGGAGCCCGTGTAGAAGTCAGTGCCAAGGAATTGCATCATCCAACATGTGTTTTTAGAAAGCTGGCCTGGAGAAGGGAGATTGGTGGGGTGGGGGCCAGAGGACAGCTCACTGGGCGGCTACAGGCCTCGGGGGGAAGAGCTGTGATTCGGGGCCTGCCTCGCTGGGCAGACGCTTAGTGTAAGATAATATTCTCCAGTTACTCTGAGGTGCATTCCTGAAAATCTTAGTTTCCCATTGCCCTTGTAGACCATTTCAGAGATGTTTTATGTTTCTCTTTGATTGATCTTGGCTGTGGCTTTTGACACTGCACTTCTCACTTTCTCTGCCCCCTGACCTCTTGGTTAGGTAGTTAATGATCTTTAAACAAACACTTGAGTATTATGGCTCTCCAGGAAAGGGCCTGGCCTCCTGCTCCTGGAGCCGCTCAGCATTCTCCCTTTATCCAGGGAGAAAACGAGTGCTCCCCACACCCGGGCTTTGCAGATGGGGATGCTTGCAACCTGAAGGCCAAAGTGTCTTTAACTTAACAAATTTTGATGAGGTTTTCTGAAATACATTACCCATTTCTTTGCTGCGCTAAGCGTGATCTCATCTCCTCTCCGACAGTGGATCTTAGTAGGAATGTTCATTGATTTCGTGAACGTTTATTAGAGCCTTTCCTATGTCTGTTCCTGATTTACAAACTGTGGGTGCAGAAATCTGCCTGGTGTAGTAGTTGGTGTGGTAGTTTCCAAACAGAGATAAGATCAGGTTACTCCTTTGCCTAAACTCCTCGGCGACTTCCGGCCTGCCCTCTCCTCCCTGCCCTCCCTGCTGCAGCCCTCCCGCCTCTTTGTTTATTTCTCAGACCCATGGTGCCTCCATCCTGGGCCTATACATTCATTAGCTCCCCTGTTCAGAACTATCTTTTTCTGGACCTTCACATAAATTCTTATAATTAGGTCTTAGCTGAGTCATCACCTCTAGAAGTCTTCCCTGACCACCGCTCTAAAAAGCCAGACCTCCCCCAACACCCTAGGCCTTCTCTATATGTTATATATGGTATACATATTATATGTAATATAGTACTTTATATATAATAATGTATATAATTATGTTAGTATTTACACACAAAGTCTTATATATTAATTCTATCAGTACAAACTTAGTTAATGTTAATGTATTCGAAGTTTTGTTGCCGTTCCTCACCCTGTTCCTACCCCCAGAACAGCGCCTGGCACACTATAGTCCCTCAGTGTGACCTGCCCTAGAGAAGCCCAAGCCCACAGGCTAGCAGGCAGATTGGTGCAGAATCGGCAATGACAGCAGAGCAGGCTGTGTATGACTCAGAGGGGCTGGGGTAGCACCAAAGAGAGAGGGACAGATCCTGCCCACTGGGGGTCTGGGTAGACTTTCTAGAGCAGCGGGGTTTGGCCTGGGCTTTCAAGGACAGATGGCCATAGCTTGGCAGTCTGAGGACCTGGGGGGCTGTTTTGCATATGGTGACAAGCCTCTACAGAGGGCTCAAGGCAAGAAAGTGCTGGAATGGAGTCTGGAGTGGAGTAGTGACTAGAAGGATGGAGGGAGCTAAGGTAGCTCAGGATTTGGCTGCCGTGACCACCGCCCGCATCCTGGACCAGGGTGCCCTGTGGGCTTCGTGTTTGCAGGGTGGAGCTTGCTCTGGCCAAGGGGAGTCTGAGCACCCCAGAGCTCCTCTGGGCTGCCATGCCAGGGGCCAAGTGAGTGTTGGCAGTACTGGGATAGGAACTTCTCCAGCTGGAGCCCCTCCCCCCAGCCTCAAGGCTCTTCGTCTCATGAGCTTTCTCTTTTGCTACCCACCAGGTGGTGAAGAAGGTGAAATCCATGCAGATGTTTCACATGCCTGTCACCTCAGCCATGCAGGGAGACCGACTGGGCATCTGCGTCACCCAGTTTGACCCCAAGCTACTGGAGCGTGGCCTGGTGTGTGCCCCTGAGTCCCTGCACACTGTCCACGCGGCCATCATCTCTGTGGAGAAGATCCCGTATTTCCGGGGGCCCCTGCAGACCAAAGCCAAGTTCCACATCACGGTGGGCCATGAGACAGTCATGGGCCGGTTGATGTTCTTCAGCCCTGCCCCCGATAGCTTTGACCATGAGCCTGTGCTGGACTCCTTCGACTTCTCTCGAGAATACCTCTTCCAGGAGCAGTACCTAGATAAGGATTTGGCACCGGTGGCGACAGACAGTGATGAGGCTAACAAGAAGACGGGCCAGGCCACAGAAGGCTGCTGCCCTCGGCAGCAGTGGGCCCTCGTGGAATTTGAGAAGCCTGTCACCTGCCCTCGGCTGTGCCTGGTGATTGGCTCCAGGCTAGATGCAGACATTCATGCCAACATGTGCCGGCTGGCCTTCCACGGCGTCCTGCTCCACGGGCTGGAGGACAAGGACTATGCCGAGAGCTTCTTGCCCAGGCTGAAAGTGTATAAGCTCAAGCACAAACATGGCCTTGTAGAACGGGTAAGCAGCCCCTCCACCCATCATCCTTCCTTGTCGGGCCCCGGTGGCCAGGATGGATATAGTTGGGGTCTGTGATGAGAACCAGAGACACCTCAGAGGCTTCTGGTCCCAACTTCTGATGTTTTAAAACAAGGAAACTGAGGCCCAGAGTGGCTGAGTGGCCTGAGTTCTGCTAGCCCTCAGTCACAGAGCGGGGCCTGAACCAAGGCAGGAGAGCCCCACTGCACCTGCTCCCATCCCTGCCCTCTACTCTGGTGGTGGAGGTGGCCCGTGTAGGGCAGAGCAGCCCTGGTCCCTCACACAAACTGGTTTCAGACAGCAGCATTTCACCTGGGCCAGAAGCCAGTAGTATCAGTGGCCCCCTTGAGCTTCAGATAAGAGGCCGGGCCTTGCCCCTCACAGCCTGATGAGCAGGCCCTCGCTCTCATGGCCTCAGTGGGGGCTGAGCCTCCATTAGGCAGGGTGGCTGCTGGGTCATATCAACAGATATGCCAGTCATATTGATAGAGGGAGCATGGCTGGTCAATGCAGGGCAGGCCTGGCCAAGCGTGTCCTCAGCCTGTGGGGTGGGGGAAGTGGGGAGTGATGGTGGCTGGGTGCCAGAGGGCAAGAGGTGGGAAGGTACAGGAAGGTGATACAGTGGGAGGGGCCAGGCTGCTGGCTTCCTCGGGTGCCTGGTATCATCACCAGATGCAGGTCTTTAGACATGGGTGAGCCAGTCTGGTTCACAGGCCTTTCATGGGAGTGGGCAGTTGTGGTAGCCTAGAGCCTAAAGGGGTCCTGAAGTCCAGGGATTACCTTCTGTCAGGTACCCCCCCCACTTTGTCTATCACCATAGGTCTCAGTGGGAATCCCTGCCTCCTGGGCCTTGAAGAGATGGGTAGAGAATGTCCAAACGTCTGTCCAAACCTCACTCCCTGATGTGGGTCCCTGCAGGGCAGGGATGGCTGTGACTCTTGGGACTCGTCTCTGAGCTAGGTGAGCATGGCTGTGCTAAGACCCCAGTGCTGGGAAGCTCAGGTTCCAGTGGGGTCTGCCCTGAGGCCCTCAACAGGACTGCGGTTCTGTTCCTTAGATAGCAGGATGAAGGTTACCCCTCCCAGTGCAGCGCCCTGCCCAAGTCAGCATAGACTCCAGCATGGGGTCTGACCCTTACTGAGCAGGCACTCAGGAGAAAGTGTCAGAGCCTTGGGTACCAGCCAGGGTCGGGGTTTCCACTGCCACCGCCCACCCTGTCTCCTTCCCCTCTCTCAGATCCCCACGTTTCTTCTCTGGAACTCTGTCACTGCAGGAACTCCCACTCTCCTCCTCCTTGTCTCAGGATTTTTCCTGGTGCTCAGGCCCAATTCCCTTCCTCTCCTGCCTGTATCTAGACCTGCCCTCTGAGGGGGAATCAGTAGAAGTTTCTTACTTACCCCCTCACAGTCCATCCAAAACTCAGGATCCTCAGCTCTGTAATCTCAGGCCTTCCACTTTGAGGCCAACCTTGGCTGCTCAGCTGGACAGGCTTGGTCACCCTGCACTGTGGCTGGAGTCCTGAAACTGGAACCATGTCTGTCCCCCCCGTCCGTGTCCCCCCTCCCCCCCCGCCGCTGTTTGCTCTCTGTCCCTCTGTGAATGTTGGCTTCCTGCTCTGCAGAGCAGCAGCCTAAACTCCCAGGGCTGCCAGGAGGGGTCATGGGCCGACCATGGGGGCCACTCAAAGTCTCCATCAGCCGGGGGCCAGCCCTGAGATGCTGATTGAAGACGAAGGTGATAAAGTGCACGTCACTCGTTTGTCTCGTTTGATTTATTAGCAGTATTATGAAGTATAATTATTCTCTGGTGAAATATCTGTCATGGAGTACTGTCCCACTTGGTGAGTTCACAGGTCTAATTGCCCCACACAGGCCTGTTGGTGGTGGAGCAGCAGTTACTTCCTTCAAGAATGAGGAGTGTGGGTTTGTGAGGAGCAAGTAAACATACTATCGAGTGCCTTTTGCCTCCTAAGGGCACTGGGGAGAGCCAAGGAGATGTGCTTACCCAAGCCATACCACCAATCTAGGGCATCCCTGGGGCCACCAGCCCTTTCCTCCTCAGTCCAGGGAGGCCAGAAGTGGAGGCACAAGAGCCCCAGACTCGCAGTCAACAGATCCCACCTAGACATCCTGAGCAGAAAGGCTCCCTTCAGCCAGGGACTGCTTCAGACAGGGCTGTGGAGGTGTGTGGAGGGGTCCTGAGACTGGGATCCTGTAAGGAAGGAAAGGGCACGGTACCTGCGTTCCCCCTACCAGCCCCTTAAGGCCCTAGCCGAATGGACACCTGTCCTGTGTGCTACAGATTCCCTTCTGGGCCCAGGGGCAGGAATACACCTGCCTCCTGCCTACCTCCACCCCATCCCTACTCTATTTATCCAGCACCTACTGTGTGCTATTACTACTGTGTGCTCTTACTAGCTGCATACATTGTTTTGAATTCTTATAAAAATTCAATGAGGAGGTTATTACTTTTCCTACGTACTTTTTATGAAATTATTAAATAGATCACTTTCTTCCTCCTAAAATTATATGTAAATATTTGGGAAAAGTAATATATGTGCATGGTAAAAAATAATTCAAACAACACAAAAAGTTACTCAAAAAAAAAAGCTAGTTTTATTCCTACTCTGAACTCAGGCCATCAGGGCCCCTCTGCAAAGGGAGCCACACTGGAAACCAGCTTAAGAGATGTGAAGCAACCTGCCCGAGGTCACAGGATGGTCAAGTCGGGATTTGAACCCAGCACTGACTGGCCTCTGAGCCGTTATCTTTCCAGCATGTCTGGTAGATTCTTGCCCAGTGAGTTGAGAGGCTGGCATGCTCTCAAGAAACTGGAGTATCCTTGGCAGGAGACTTTTCTTCCTAGTCAGGTTGGTAAGCATTGACCTTGGGATCACACAGACTGGGCTCAAACACTTAGCTGTGCCATGTAACAACTCTATGCCTTGGGGAGCCATTTTATTTCAACGGTCTCATTCATTTGAGGAGCAAACAGTCTCCACCTCACAGGTGAAGTGGCTTCATATGTAAGAGTTGAGTCTAGCTCAGGGGAAGCAGGAAGGAGATTTCCTAGTACAGCTCACGAGTAGAAGGCCGGACTTACTCCAACAGAGAGCCCCATTTGCCTTGAGCAGGCCCCAGAGTACACAGAGATTTTCAGATCACTTGGTTGGCCACAGCCTTTGCCTTGTGGCAGACTGGTCAAACGTGCAGGCCTGGGCTTCAGTCCCAGCCTGACCACCTCCTAGTATGGAAATGTGGGCAGATCCAGGGAATTTCACAGCGCTGTACCATGGGCTGGGAGCTCAGCTTGGGCGTCTAAGACATCCTCCATTTATAAACAAGGAAGGCCCAGCCCTATATGGATATGTGTTAAATGGACACTTTCCATCTGGACAGACTTAAGGCATATAGTCCTGAGCCCATTGCCTAAAAGACATTATTCATTCATATATCCAGATGTTTACTTAGCTCCTGTGTGTGATGGGGATATAGCAAGATGGACAGAGTTCTTGTTCTCACGGGGGAGACTGACAAGGAACAGTACCTTAGATGCTTTCAGGTAGTAGTAAGTTCTAGAAAGAATGTAACAGTGAAATAAATACAAAATGCTGAGGACAGTGCATGGCACATAAGGAGGCCAGCTGTTAGCCCTCCCTGGGTTTTCTCTTACTTCTGTGCTCTGCTTCACTTACACTGGAGGATGGGTCAGACTCCCCTACAGATGTAGCTTCACTCATTGGTGTCACCTACAGTGTCTGTGGCCCATGGACCACATCCAGGCAATTGGCCTTGCCCCAAATCTAATCATCTTTAACAAGCTTGTTTTCTCTAGATACTTTTTTTAGCTGCTGCAATCAAACACTATTTAATTAACTTACCACCAGTAAATGGCTTTCCTTGCTTGGCTAACAAATGAACCACTTGCAAACTTACTTTGATTGTAGCCTATTCTCTCTCTCTCTCTCTCTCTCTCGGTTTTGTTTTGTGAAGAAATTCTGCTGTGATGAGATGTACTGCTTGAAATTGTCTCATTTTTTTTTTCTGTGAGCTGGGAATATTGTGATGTCAGTGTATGTTGTATTAACACAGCCAATAACGAACACAGAGCTTTGCCATGTAATTCGATAAAATAATAATCCACACCTCACTGAGCATTGAAAGTGTGACATTCAAAGTCCACTTTTCCTGTTTTGACATGGTGCCTATGCACTGGTAATAAAAATGAATAAATAAAACCTATGGCTGGGTGAGATGCTGTGGAGCCGTCCCAGAGTTATGGCACCCAGTACCTCCTAGGTCTCTGTCACAACTGTTCAACTCTGACCCTGGGGCACAAAAGCAGCCGTAGACAAGGTAGAAGCAAGACGGTGTGGTGGGGTGCCAGTAAGACTTTATTGATTGACACTGAAATTTAAATTTCTCATAGTTTTCATACATCATGAAATATTCTTCTTTCAATGCTTTTCAGTCCATTGGAAAATAGAAGAACCATTCTTAGCTGAAGGCCGTACAAAAACAGATACTGGGCAGAATTTCGGCTCTAGCTATACTGTGTCCACCCCTGATCTAAATGGTAAATAGGAGTCTTGAAACAGATTGAGCATCCTGCAAGGAAAAGTCTAATCACCACCTATAACCACAAGTACTCAACTCTGTCTGCATTCCTCAGGAATTAGGTCCTGGGAAGGGAGCTCGGGTTAATAGAAATGCTCCAGAAGTCTCACCTGAGTGGGAGAGGAAGGGAAGTGAAGGTGTTCTAAAGGGCTAGTCTTTCTAGGGAGAGGGCTTGGGAAAGAGAATTAGAGCCTGTGGTGGTGAGGGAGATGCTCAGTATCCTGTTTTCAGGTAAAAATATAGAACTATGTGTCAGATTATAAACACAAAGAAAGGGAAAGAAACTATGAATGGAAATGGAAAGTGTAGCAGTTCCACACACACAAAGGAAAAACTGGAATGAATTTGATTAAACCGACAAAAATG